GTTAATATGTCAACGTCGGACGTTTCGGTCTAATAAACCATCTTCAGGACATATTCATAAATTATAACATTATCAATACAACATGACAAAGACGATGTACATAAGAACAAGACTTCTCCAAACAGATAACTGAAAGTTTTATAAGATTAGCGCTCCGTTTAAAACATGGTCACGTTGTCGTCACGTGGACGACGCTGTGAAAACGTATTCCTAAAATTTGAGTATTTTGAATGAAAAATGAAAAGAATTCTATTAACTCTATATTAACATTAAAACAGCATAATTGTATATAAGGATTTTTGTTTGTTTTTTCCGTATATATTTTTCTTCATACTGTCGGATCTATATCCATATATTTGCATATATATATATATATATATATATATATATATATATATATATATATATATATATATATATATATTAAATAGATATATTATGTCTATTTTTTTTTTAGAATAATCCGTTCTAGCTCACTAATTCTTTCAAAATGAAATACACTTATCCAAGTACCCTAGGAGTCATTCCTTGTTTAAAATTAATTTATACCAAAGGGGAAAAAATTCAGTGTTGGTGATGGTGTCTGCGTGTGTGTGTGTGGTGTGGGGGCACACCTACCCCAGGACCACCTTTGATCAAAATGAAATATATTTTTCAAGTACCATGGGCAATTTAGTTTCAGAATATATCTCGAAAACCCTAGGGAGATGTTCGATAAAAAACAAACAGACAGAGGCTACAATTATATATATATATATATATATATATATATATATATATATATATATATATATATATATATATATATATATATATAAAATATGGTTTCTGAGAAGAGAATTTTAAAAAAATGACTTATAGTTCGAATCTAAACAGAGTGAAAGTTTTGGATCTTAAGATTTCGATCCGAAATTGAATAATGTGTTCAGGAGACCTACCGAGAAATTTTTAGACGTCTCCATGATAAATTCAAAATGTCTTCGATTCAAAACTGAATAAATCAGGAGCATTGTCTCAAAAAGAAAACTATTTGAATGCTTCATTCGAAACAATGAACATGACATTTGGTTCTACGGAAAGTTATATTAAACTCTGAAAAAGTCAATATACCAGTTTAAATTGTATAGCACGGCTATATGATGGTAACGTAAAGGACGCAGTTTCGATTCCTGTCGGAGGATACATATTTCTCGTGTGTTCAGGCCTGTAAATATAGTTAATGCAGTTTATTATAAACAGAACATTTACTTAAATATTTTTATCTATGAAAATTACGTATGTACAGAAAATATATTAAAATAGCTGTCGGACATATTTCATTTCACAAAAAAAATATATATATATATATATATATATATATATATATAAAAACCCGACCGATTCGGTATCAGACACAGTTTCTACCACTAAACCAACATCCCTCGGCAGAGAGAAACAGCAAATTCTAGCATATTGTTTTTACAAATGCAAACAAACGGCAGTCAGTCAGAGTGCTCCAATTCATTTTATTGAAAATCTTTTGCATTATATATATATATATATATATATATATATATATATATATATATATATATATATATAAGGTATTTGTCATGCTTAGTGGCATTGACCAAGTGCAACGCTTTACTCCAATTTGCCCATTTAATGCGCAAACCTTTCTTGATATCTTGACAATTGAATCTTGCAACAGTCATATTCGGAAACGGGTCGGTAGCCATCATCATGTGTGTGTATATATGTATCTTTTCCTAAACATATTGTTCGTGTTTATTTTTTAAAGACAAACCTCATTAACCGGAAAGGACATAGAGCAGGGGTCGGCAACCTTTTGCTAACTATGTGCCGACTTAGGGTTTTAAAATCATTCAGTGTGCCAACAGCATACGTATTTTTATACAAGTCAAGGTCAATATATTTTATATAGTATACAGGTTGTCCATAAAGTTAGTGTGCACATTAAAAAAAATGTGTAACTTTATTTATATTTGCTATAGAAATAATCTGTAAAAAATGTTATAAAGTTTAATGTACCTAGTTTTAGGTATAGCTAAAATAACTAATGTGATTTCAGCCATTTCCGTAAATCAGTTGGCAAATGTTTTCCGTGAACTGCAAAATCGTATTACCCTTTCTATTGCTAATGATGAAGGACATGTGGAAACTTAAATAAAATTTCAGTAAAACCTTAAAACATATAGGTTTACTTCTTTCTCATCCTTTTTCAAATTATTTCTATCGCAAATACAAATAAAGTTATAAAGTTTTTAAAGTGCACACAAACTTTATGGACACCCTGTATATACTTGAGTATATATTAAAATTGAAACAGTTAAATATCTTCTTTGCGTTGTTAGTGGTTGTTGGTTTAGATTCGTGATGTTATTTGTGGCTGCGTTCCATTGGAAATTGCTTATCGTGCCACATGTGGCACGTGTGTCGTAGGTTTCCGATTCCTGTCATAGATACACTAATGTATCCATTTTTCTTGCAGCCTAAATAACAAAGTGTGCAAATCAGCGAATTGATTCCCTCAGCATTATAAGTATCGACAGGGAGAAAGCCAAGCTTCTGTAGGGATTTTTTTTTCTAAAGGTGGCTTAGATGTGTCACAAGGCTGAGACAGTGGAACATCCAGGGAGAATCGAACACACTACTCATTCGAGACAAGCTTGTTAACCATCACAACACGTCGAATTGCCCAGAATTAACTACAAAGCGTAGCGTAGATGTGGCACAGGACGTAAAGTGTAGAAGACCCAGTGAGAATCAAACTCAATAACCATTAAACTGAGTGAACGTGCCAAGCCAAGCTGTTGTAGGAAAACTGAAATACAATAAATGCGGTAAGATATGCAATTCCTTTTCAGGTCTAATGAGCCACAAGAAACGTGCTTCTAGACTCTATGAATGCTTATAAGCATTTACTTGGTTCGGTCATAGATAAATATTGGACGTTGATATTTGAGTTTAAATGCATTTACTTGGTTCGGTCATTGATAAACATTGGGCGTTGATATTTGAATTTAAATGAATTTACTTGGTTCGGTCATTGATAAATATTGGACGTTGATATTTGAGTTTAAATGCATTTACTTGGTTCGGTCATAGATAAATATTGGACTTTGATATCTGAGTTTAAAAGCATTTATTTGGTTCGAGTAATGCTTCGTGTATAAGTAATTATTGATCACTTAT